TAGAGATCTTGGATTTAAGTGGCTTAAGGACAATCCGCGACGGGGCTCATGGAACTACCAAGTATAGCTTTGAAAAGGGTGGAATTTCTAAGGCAATACAATCAAGCCAAGGTTGAGGCCTTATACCAGTTTGTTCCTCGATGAAACTTGGATATTTCAAAATGGGACCATAGGTCGCTCTTGGCAAAATGGAAACCAAAAAAGCGTGAAAGCTATTAAAACAGATGGTAAAAGGTATGTACTTTTACACAATTTGCACTATAAAATTTAAAACTAATATATTTTAGATACATTATATTACATGCTGGAAATGAAAATGGGTTTATTGAGGGTAGTGAAGCGATATTTTCTTCGAAAACAAAATTGAGCGATTACCATGGAGAGATGAACCAGGACAATTTTTTGAAATGGTTTCAACATCAGTTATTAGAAAAATTGGAGAGTCCATCTATGATTATACTGGATAACGCCCCTTATCACAGCATGATATTGAACAAAGTGCCCAACAATGCATGGACAAAAAAAAATATCCAAGACTGGTTGACAAATCAAAACATACCATTTTTAAACACAATGTTTAAAACAGAGCTATTGAGTATTGTTGCTCGGTACATAATGCTTCTTAATTATATATATTTTGGTCGACAGTTTATATTTCTTTTGTTTATTCCTATTCTTAAAATAACTGCTTTTTTAGAAACAAACCACCTAAAATATACGTGATTGATGAATTGGCGGAACAACATGGGCACAAAGTTCTTCGTCTGCCTCCTTACCATTGTATATTTAACCCTATTGAGTTAATTTGGGGCATAGCAAAAGGTTACTATAACAGACATATTGGTAGAGATGGTAACAGTGAAAAAGACTGTTTGGATATGTGGAACGAGGCTCTACAAACGGTTACCCCAGACATGTGGAAAAATAGTGTTCGACATACTGAGCAAGAAATTTTTAAATGGTATGAAAGAGAACGAATTTTTGATCGACCAGACATCGAACCTTTAATAATCAACTTTGAGAGTGATGAAGATTCAGATTCAGACAGCGCTGAAGAAAGAAACTCCGACTAACTTTATTGTACAGAAAAAGCTTACACCAGTAGCTTACCTAATTTTAGAATGCATTTTTCTGTATGAATTCTGTAAAATAAATACCATGCATAAAATTTGGAGGACCCCATTTGGATTTTTATTCAGTACCTTTAAGCTATCAATTAAATATGGTAGTTTCATAGTGTCATCTGATCAATAATTGTCATACTTAATGATTATGCAAGTACAGATCTATAATTTTATTATACTATTATTTTTGTTCTCATTTGAGGTTAATATTGCTTATAAACCTAGATATGTAAATAATAAATTTTATTATTTTACAAAAAGTTTGGCAACAATGTAAATTTTTCAACACACCCACCTTGATGACGTGCACGCCACTTTGTTTGGCGTTGACTATACATAAAGTCAAATTTTTATGGTTGTTCAGGAACTGAACAAACATCCACACTATATTTATAGCGATTAAGAAATACTCAAATATATGTATGTCGTAAAGCTACCGGTAAACTTAAAATCTGCAAAAAAATAGAATTTGCAATAACTTTCTTGTTTCATTGAGTACACATTCTAGGTTATATTTATATTAGACATTATTTGAGTAACAGGTGATTATTACATTTCAAAACTTCCCAACGAGTGACACATGTGTGGGATCCGTCAACCCTTGGTCCTAGTAGAGTAAGCTCCGCCAACTGTTTATCTACTCTACTATGCTTTATAAGACTATACGTGGAATTTTTCCAAAAATCCTCGCACAACACTTGAAAAAATGCAAATTAAAATTTAAAATTATTTCCATGACGCAAAATAGCTCCGTCGGGTTATACATCTTGACAGTAGGGATGTTCGATATGATCCTATATTTAGAAGTAAATTACGACGGAACGCAGTGTAAAAAAAGATTGAGTTTGTTATTTTTGGCTCTTAGGTATTATTTCATTATTTAATAATGTACTCGTAAAATGCAAACAATTAAAAAAAACGGACTTACCGCTAACTATCTCAGCGCTCAGCTGGTGTGTG